CGGTCATGGTGAGGCGGTGACTATTGTTTCTTATGTCGATTTAGGGCCATGAAGTGGAATTACTCTCGATTCCTTAGGCCAAAAATCTTTTATGTGATCCGGGTCCGATGGCACGGGCTCCACAAGATGGTATGGGCTATAATACACAAAAATCTAGGAATCAGGCGGTGATTATTGTGCCTTAGGTCATTTTTGATGGGCATGCAAAATATTAGGCGATCCAGGTCCGGTGGACTTGGGCCCCGCACACGAAAATTTGAGAATCGGGCAAAATTCCAATTTTATGACGCCCAAAATGCCAAAAAAGGAGGAATGTGACTATTGTTCTTAGGTCATTTTTGATGGGCCTGCAAAGGTTTAGGCGATCCAGGTTCGGTGGCCCGGGCATCACCAGATGGCGTGGGCTACAACACATGAAAATCAGAGAACCGACCGAAATTTCAGTTTTATTGCCCTAAAACACCAAAAAGAGTAACAGTCATAGAGAGGTAGTGAATATTGTTCCTCGGGTCATTTTAATGGGCCAAAAAAAATTTAGGCAACCCGGGTACGGTGGCCAGGCCCCACCAGATGGCGTGGGCTATAACATACGAATATGTGGGAATCGAGTGAAATTCTAGTTTTATGGCCTAAACACGTAAGAAAAAATGAGAAACGGTAATAGCGAGGCGGTGAATATTGTTCCTTAGGTCATTTTTGACTGGCCGACAAATATTTAGGCGATCCAGGCCAGTGTCCCAGGCCCCACAAGATAGCATGGGCTATAGGACACGAAAATCTGGGAATGGAGTTGAATTCCAGTTTTATGGCCCTAAAACGCAAAAATACGATGAACGGTCATGGCGAGGCAACAACTATTGTTCCTTAGGTCATTTTTAATGGGCCGACAAAATTTTAGGAGATCTGGATCCAGTGGCCTGGCATCACTAGAAGGCGTGGGTTATAGCACATAAAAATTCGAGAATCGGGCGAAATTCCAATTTTATGGCCCTAAAATGCCAAAAACGAGTAATGGTCATGGAGAGGCGGTGACTATTGTTTCTCAGGTTATTTTTTATGGGACAGATAATTTTTAGGCGATCCATGTCCGGTGGCCCGGGCCCCACCATGTGTCGTGGGATATAGCACATGAAAATCTAGGGTTCCGGAGGAATTCCAGTTTTACGGCCCAAAAATGCCAAAAAACGAGGAACAGTCTTGGCTAGGCGGTGACTATAGTTCCTTAGGTCATATTTGATAGGCCGAAAACATTTTAGGTGATCCAGGTCCGGTGTCTCGGGCCCCACCATATGCCGTGGGCTATAGAACACGAAAATATGGGAATCGGACGAAATTCCAGTTCTATGGCCCCAAAATGCCAAAACACGAGGAACGGTCATGGCGAGGCGGTGACTATTGTTCCTTAGGTCATATTTGATGGGCCAAAATTTTGTTTAAGCAATCCGGGTTTGGTGTCCCGGCCCCACCATGTGGCGTGGGCTATAGAACACGAAAAACTGGGATTGGGAGGACTTCCAATTTTATGGCCCTAAAATGCCAAAAATGAGGAACGGTCATGGTGAGGCAGTGACTATTGTTCCTTAGGTCGTATTTGATGGGGCGGAAAAATTTTAGGCGATCCGGGTCTGTTGGCCCAGACCCATCGGATGGCGTGGGCTATGAACACGAAAATATGGGAATCAGGCGGAATTCCAGTTTTATGACCCTAAAACGTCAAAAAACTAGGAACGGTCAAGCCAGGGCGGTGGCTATTGTTCCTTAGGTCATTTCTAATGGGAGGGAAAAATTTTAGGCGATCCGGGTCTGGTGGTCTGAGCCCACTAGATGATGTGGGCTATAATACACGAAAATTTGGAAATCGGGAGGAATTCTAGTTTATGGCCCTAAAACGCCTAAAATGAGGAACGGTCATGGAGAGGCAGTGTTTATTGTTCGTTTTGTCCTTTTTATGGGGCGGAAATATTTTAGGTGATCCGGGCCTGCTAGCACGGGCCCCACCAGCTTGTGTGGGCTATAGTACTCGAAAATTGAGAAATCTGGCGGAACTTCAGTTTTATGACCCTAAAATGCCAAAATATGAGTAACGGTCATTGTGAGGCGATGACTATTGTTCCTAAGGTCATTTTTTATGGGACAAAAATTTTTTAGGCGATACAGGTCCGGTGGCCCGGACCCCACCAGATAGTGTGGGCTATAACACAAATCTGGAATTTGGGAGGAATTCCAGTTTTATTTCCCTAAAATGCAAAAAAAAAATGAGGAATGGTCATGGAGAGGTGATGTGCCGTAGAATTGCGGCACTTTTGATACTAATTACATAGATCTTAGCTCGTCTTTTAAAGCATTATAAGTCATTTCTTATGTAGTTCTGGTGGTTTGCAGGAGACGAGACTTGAAGAACCAAGATCATAAGAGAAGTTGTCAAATAGCTATGAAAGGATGCAAATGCGGCTGATCTGCGATCGCATAACTGACATGCGGGTCGCAGAAGTATCGCATAATGAATCAGTCTATTCCAGATGTTGATCGCCATGTATGCGATCAATTATGCGGTCGCATAACAATTATGCGAACCCCATACTGATCGCACAATAATAAGAGGAATTAGTTGAAGGATGATATGCGATGGATTATGCGGTCGCATAACTGAAATGCGAAGGAAAATATTGGACGATTGTCAACCAATTCTGTGATGGAAATTAAGTTCTGCAGACCGCGAATGCCATCTGCGGTCGCAGAATATCTCTGAAGGGTATTTTTGTCAGGTTTTGACCATGACTTTTAGACCATTATAAATAGAATGATTAGGGTTTTTGTGTCAGATCTGGTGTGATAGAAGGAAGCTACACTTAGAGCATTGAATGCACCATTATTATGGAAGCTTGTGAGATAAAATCCAAAACTTTGTCTATAATTGTGAGCTTCATGACTATATTTATTATATTGTTTTTGTATTCTAGTATGAGTAGCTAAGTTTAAATACTAAGGTTGTGAATCCTATGTGGGTGTAATGTTAATGTGTGTTTATCAGTGAATGTTTAGATAATGGTTAGTCGATTTCTATTCATTTCTCATGCTTCATTGTAGTTGATGGTTGCAAACATTGACTAGTGCCAATTCATTCTATCTTTACTTGGGAAAGTAGGTTAGAGTTTGGTAGAATTGAATAGCAAGAACTCAAGGCTCTAAACCTTGTTTAATAGAATCTCTTAGGGATAAGTGGGTTCTACTTGGCATAAATTGGTTGTTCTTAATTATCACTTCTTTTATATTTGGAAAAATCATAAAGAGGAACTACTATTTAATTATTCGAAAATATTAGTTAGTAATGTAGGAATCATTTGCATATCAACGGGCTTTCCATTTAAAAATATAAAATATGAACACCATTATCATTGCATTCCATTGATGGAGACACAAACTTGGTTTCTTAATCAATTTAATCAAATCATATCAACGAAATAGCTTTTATTAATAATTCACAATTATAACACTCACTCTTTAAGCTAGCGGAGTAGGATTACGACTTAAGTCAAGTTTCACACTACTCAAATAACCTTTTCACACCTATTCTCTGTGGGATTCGACCCCAACCTAGTTGGGTTACTATATTTGACATCGACCACCTTACACCATTTATTTTAGTTTAAGCGTATCAAATTTTGGCGCCGTTGCCGGGGACTATGGTTTTGAAATTACTAACGAGTGTGTGCTTCACTTGACGTCTTCTTCTATTCCACCACACTTTGCTTGTTTTGCTTGGTGTCATTAGGTAAACATGGGCGAGCCAGAAGAAGAGAATATGTTTGCGAATATAGATGAGTATATTGAGGATACAAATGCCATTGTCCCTCCAATAGTTGATGTTGCAACCTTCAAAGTGAAACACAGTTTAATCCTAATGCTAAAAGCGGAGGGGTTCTTCCAAAATTCCACCGATGATGATCCGACACAACATCTCAGAAATATTTTGGGTATGCGTGCGATGCACAAATAGAATTATGTCTCGGATGATGCCCTAAGGTTGAGGGTGTTCAAGTACTCTCTAACTAGAGAGGCGAGAATAGTGGATCCAAAATCTACCTCTTAATTCCATCCACACTTGGCCCGAACTTGTCCGGGCATTCCTAGCAAAATGGTTTACACAAAGCAAGAAGTCTGAGCTCCGGGATAAAATCTTCTTCTTCAAGCAATTACCAGGAGAGCATCTACATGAGGCATGGGATAGATTCAAGCTATATTTGGTAAGGTCACCGAATCATGGCTTTCCGTATAATATTCTATTAGAGAAGTTTTACATGGGCTTGGATCCTATGAATCAATACTTAGCCAAAAATGCAGCGGATGGTTGCTTTATGGACAAAACATTTGCAAGGATCACACAAATCCTAGATAAGATGGCTGAACATAACAAAGCTTGGCACTCGGAAGATACCATGGGTGGAATTACATATGGTAGTCCCTCCTTGACTAGCATGATTAAAGAGAACCAAGAAAGAGATCAGATAATTGTCGGGCTTGCCACCAACGTCAACGTGTTGACAAAAATGTTCACTGAAAGCCAAACAAAAAAGGTAAAATGTTGTGGAAGATGTGCAACCCATGTTGAATGAGGAGTACGAAGAAGCAAATTATGTCAACAATCCTCCAGGAGAATATCAAAGACAATCTTACCAAGGTTCAGGACAACAACACCAATGGAGGTCTAACCCGCAAGGGAAAGGCAACTAACAATGGCGAAATGACCAAGGTAATTCAAATCAAGGAAATTGGAGTTACAACAACAACAACTTTTCAAATCGGATTTCAAACCCCAATGTTCCACCAAAGGGGCAATATTCTAATTCTCCGCATTGGAAAGAAAGATCTTCAAGTGATTCCAAGTTAGAAAGCATGCTTAAAAGAGTGTTGTAAAATCAGGGAGATCCGACACTTCAATGAAGAATATGACCGAACTTGTGGGTTCTCACACCGCATCCATACAAAAGTTAGAAATACAAATGAGAGATCTCTCAAGAGAGCAAAATCCGAAGCAGAAAGGCACGCTCCCAAGTGACACAATTGTAGACCCAAAAGGTAGTGGGAGTGGTCCGACTTCCCATTGTATGGCAATCACAACTCGAAGTGGGAAACTACTTCAAGGAGAGAATGAACAAGTGGTCGAAGTGGAAGATTTTGAACAAGAAGTTAAGGCACAAGTTGAGGTGCCAATTGGTTTTGAAGTTGAAAGACTCCCGAAGAAGGTGAAAATTCAAGAAGTGAACAATGAAAAGATTAAGGAAAAGGTAATAAAGGCACCAAAAACTCTAGCACCAATTCCTAGGCCTCCTCCTCCTTTCCCTCAAAGACTTGCTAGGAAGGTCGATGATAGCAAACTTGAGAAGTTCTATGACATTCTCAAGCAATTATCGGTGAACATTCCATTTGTGGAAGCATTTCAAGAGATGTCGGGTTCTGTTAAGTACTTGAAGGACTTGATCACTAAAAAGAGAACCACCAAGAATGAAGTGGTGAATGTGACTCACCGGGTTAGTTCCATCATTGCAGCAACCACCGTTCAAAAGAAAGAGGACCCGGGAGCCTTCACCATTCCATGCCCTATTGGATTGCGCAATTTTGCACGAGCCTTTTGTGATAATGGAGCTAGCATCAACTTAATGACCCTTGCTATTTACAAGCAAGCAGGATTACGTATGCCTAGGCCTACAAGTATGAGGTTTCAAATGGCCGACCGTTCAATAAAGCGACCGGTGGGAATCGTTGATGATGTTTTTGTGAAAGTGGGGAAGTTTCTCCTCCCTACCGACTTTGTTATCCTCGATTGTGTTGTTGATAAATAAATCTCTATCATATTGGGGAGACCATTCCTTGCTATCGGGAGAGCACTTATGGATTCGGAACGAAATGAGATCAAGTTCCGAGTTAATGACGAAGAGGTTATCTTTCAAGCGAGTAAAGGTATGAAATTGCCACATGCATACGAAAGTATCTCAGTCATTGATGTTGTTGATGAGGTAGAGGATGCAGTCGAGGTGAAGATGGAAGAGGAATGCCTTGGTGAGACATTGGCGGCTATTTTGGTAAATTTTGATGGTGAAGACATGGAAGGATACATGGAATCGGTGAATGCATTGGAAGGGCTTGGGTCCTACACTTATGCACCAAAGAAGCTTTCTCTTGACTTAGAGAATAGAGTCACCCCTCCTGCTAAGCCTTCAATTATCGAGCCACCACAACTTGAGCTCAAGCCACTTCCACTACGCTTAAGGTATAAATTTCTTGGCTCTAATGAAACTCTACCTGTAATTGTTTCTTCTTTGTTGAATGATGTACAGGTTGAACACTTATTGAATACCTTGAGGGAGCACAAACAGGCCATTGGGTGGACTATAGCGGATATCCGAGGGATTCCCATCGGAATTTGTGAGCACAAGATACAACTGGAGCAAGAGAGCAAACCTAGCATGGAACATCAAAGAATGTTAAACCTTTCCATGCAAAAGGTGGTGAAGAAAGAAATCATAAAATGGTTGGATGCCGGGGTTATCTACCCCATTGCCGATAGTCCTTGGGTGAGTCTGGTGCAATGTGTTCCAAATAAAGGAGGCATGACCGTGATTCAAAACAAAAAAAATAAACTCATCCCAACGAGGACGGTGACCAAGTGGAGAGTTTGCATGGTCTACCGGAAGCTCAATAGTGCTTCTTGCAAAGACCATGTCCCTATGCCTTTTATTGCTCAAATTCTTGATCGGCTAGTGGGAAGGTCATTTTATTGCTTCTTGGATGGTTATTCCGGCTACAACCAAATCAACATCGCCTTAGAGGAACATGCCCCTATAGGACCTTTGCCATTAGTTGGATGCTATTTGGTCTATGCAATGCCCCAGCTACCTTTCAATGATGCATGATGTCAATCTTCTCGGACATGGTGGAGGACTTCTTAGAGGTGTTTATGGATGACTTTTTTGTAGTTGGTGATTCCTTTGAGCATTGCCTTGAAAACCTTAGACAAGTGCTCAAAAGATATGAGGAAACAAACCTTGTGCTAAATTGGGAAAAATGTCACTTCATGGTGGACGAGGGTATTGTTCTGAGCCACAAAATTTCCAAGCAGGGCATAGAGGTTGATCGGGCAAAGATCGAGATCATTTCCAAGCTTCCTCATCCCACTTCGGTAAAAGGCATTCGGAGTTTTTTGGGCATGCCGGTTTTTATAGGCGATTTATCAAAAACATATCAAAAATTGCAAGTCCCATGTGCAAGCTCCTTGAAAAGGATGCAAAGTTTTATTTCGATGAGAAGTGCCTCAAAGCTTTGAAGGAATTAAAATCAAGGCTCACCACGGCACCTATTATTGTCACACTCAATTGGTTTCTTCCATTTGAACTCATGTGTGATGCCAGTGGTGTAGATATTGGAGCGTTACTAGGTCAACGGCATAACAAGATTCTTCATCCTATCTACTATGCAAGCAAGACACTTAGTGGTGCACAAATGAATTACAGTGTGATGGAGCAAGAACTACTTGCTATTGTCTATGCGTTTGAAAAGTTCCGGGCCTATTTGTTGGGCTCCAAAGTGATAGTCTACACCGATCATGCTACTCTCCGCTACCTTATGGCGAAGAAGGATGCTAAACCACTATTGATTAGGTGGGTTCTTTTGTTACAAGAGTTTGACTTTGAAGTCAAAGATCAGAAAGGAACAGAGAATCAAGTTGCGGATCACTTGTCTAGGCTTGAAGAGGCAGGGAGACCAAAAGAAGATCTTGAAATTAATGATGCCTTCCCTGATGAACACATATTGGCATTGTCTAGCACCTTCACTCCTTGGTATGCCGACATCGCTAACTTCTTGGTTAGTGACCTTATCCCCGACAGATTGGAAGCTTATCAAAATAAAAAGTTCTTGCGGGAGTGTAGGCAATACTTTTGGGAGGAACCCTTTTTATTCCGGATTTGCGCCGACAACATCATTCAGCGTTGTGTTCCGAAGAATAAGGTAATTGAAATTCTCAAAGAATGTCATGACTCCCCAGTTGGGGGCCACCATGGTGGAAATCGTACTACAGCTAAAGCGCTTGAATGCGGCTATTATTGGCCATCGATCTATCAGGATGCAAACCAAATGGTCAAGGCATGTGATCAATGTCAAAGACAAAGGTCAATTTCTAGAAGGCATGAGATGCCTATGAACTTTGTGATGGAGGTCGAGATCTTTGATGTGTGGGGAATAGATTTCATGGGTCCCTTCGTAAGCTCTTACGGCATGACATATATCTTGGTGGCAGTAGATTATCTCTCCAAATGGGTCAAGGCAATTGCCTTGCCGAACAATGAGGGAAGGAGTGTAACCGCCTTCTTGAAGAAGAACATATTTACTCGATTTGGAACCCCAAGGGCCATCCTTAGTGACTGTGGCTCTCACTTTTGCTACAAAGCTTTTGCCGAGTTGCTCGAGAAATATGGAGTTAAGCACAAGGTGTCCACCCCTTATCATCCTCAGTCGAGCGGTCAAGTTGAAGTTTCCAACCGGGAGATCAAAAATATTCTAGCAAAAACTGTTAATGCAAACAGGACCGACTGGTCAAAGAAGCTAGATGATGTATTGTGGGCATATCGAACAACATTTAAGACTCCTATTGGCACCTCACCATACCGGTTGGTTTTTGGTAAGGTGTGTCACTTGCCAGTGGAGCTTGAACACAAAGTTATGTGGGCATTGAAAAAATTAAATCTTGATTGGGCCGAAGCTGCTAATCTATGGATGACACAACTCAACGAGATGGAAGAATTCCGTTTTCATGCCTATGAGAATGCAGCCATGTATAAAGAAAGAATGAAGTTTGTTCATGACAAGAAGATTTTGAAGCGGGAATTCAAATCCGGTGACTTGTCTCACTCTTCAACTCAAGACTGAAGTTCTTTCCGGGCAAACTCAAATCCAAAATGGTCTGGCCCGTTCAAAGTTGTGAATGTATCTTCCTATGGCGATATTGAATTGGAATCCAGGGACGGGACTCGAACCTTCAAAGTAAATGGCCAAAGGGTCAAGCATTACCTCGGAACCATTGGAGAAAGGCACTTGGTAGAACAATTCGCCCTCAAGGATGGTCCTACACCAAACCCAACCACGGATTAGCCAAAATGGGGGCAACATCGTCGTGCCGCAACATTAAATAAATCTCTTCTTGGGAGGCAACCCATGTGTTGGTAACACTTTTTTGTTAGATTTTAAATTTCGGTAAGTTTATTTGTAAATGTTGAACAGTTTGACGTGTGTGTTAGAAGGCAGGTGACCCAAAATACAAGGAAATAGGATGCAAGGGCAGAGGAAAATGAAGGAAAGCAAGTTGAGCTTCAGCTATGTTCTACGGTAACATATGCGGCCGCATAAAGGATTTGCGGACTGCATAGTAGTTGCAGACACAAGCAGAAAAAATGCAAACTGGACCTTAATAAATGCAGTAAGGATTCACTTATTGTGACCCGCATAGTGACACTTTTTCACCGTGAAACGCTCAGGTATTAAGCCCTAGGTCTCTCTCATTTTCGTCTTTCATCTACACTCCCACACACATGAGTACAAAGCATAATAAAAAAGAAAAGAAAGAAAAGACCAAAAACACTGAGAAAAACAATATCAAAAAGGAATTTTAAAGGAAGGGGCTTACCTTGCTCGCAATTCAGACCGAAATATTCCATTTTCTGATATCTTGCATGGCACCAAAGAAAGCTCTAGCATTGCAACAACCCACCACTCGAGGAAAGAGATCGGATACTGCTATATGCCCACAGTCACAGCAATCCCAACGCAAGCGACCTGACACATCCTGAGCTTTATCTGAGCATTCCTCCCAATCTGAAGATGAGGAGGCACAGATTGACCTTGTGGGGCCAATTGACCTCCATGACGAAGCACGCCGAAAGAGTGGTGAGGATCTCAGGTTTGGGATCTCCGGCTCTTGGACCTTGTACAGAGATAACCTGGCAAAAAGAAAGATCCTCGAAGAAAAGCAGCTAGGCTTGAACGGGTTAAAAGAACACTACTCCCCATGTGCTAGAAAACATCAAAAAGAGGGGATGAGAGTTCTTCACTCAGGTTCCGGGGGAGTACAACGAGACACTCGTTAGGGAATTTTATGCTGCATATGCTGCATCCAGGAACGCAGAATAGAAGAGAACCCGTATATTCTTGGACTCTATCCTAGTCTGAGGGGTTGAAATATTCTGGGATGCCTCATCAATCAATGATATATATTTTGACGAATGGGAGCCAGGCACGGCAAAATTTGATGCAAAGATTGCAAACAAGGAATCCGAGCGTGTTTGGGTAGCCTCTGTCATAGCCAAGGGAACTCCATACTGGATTTCTCCACACCAGGAGATTCACAAGAGAGATCTTACCCAAGAAGGCCGATATTGGCTCAGTTTGGTCTGTTCTCGTATAATGCCCTCGAGAAATGAAACTGACATAAGTATCAAGAAGGCGATCCTCATTGCTTGCATCATGTCGAGTATCAAGGTTGATGTGGGGGAGCTTATATTCCGTGAGATTGGGATCCAGACAAACCAGAAAGAAACCTCGCTCCCTTTTCCATGCTTAATCCATGCTTTGTGTAAGTCCCTCCTTGCCCCAAAAATGACCGCATAGAAAAAACTGTTCAGGACAATGACATCACTTGGATCTGTGATGCTGCCGATAAAGTGGTCGAAGATCCACCAGAGCCTTCAATCACTCCTTCTCCAACCTCAGTAGCACCTGCTGCCTCATCAGTACCAGCCACCTCCACATCCACTCCCAGACCAGCCACTGCGATACCACCTGTCTCATTGCC